CCTGTGGTCATCACACTTTAAAAGGATTTTTTTCCCTGCATTTCCAAAAGATGGGTACATTTTTATGAGTATGTAAATTGAACATGCCAGATAAAATCTGGTAAAAATTTGAAATGCTTCCTGGAATGCTCCTAAAGTTTTTATGTATGAATTAAATGCTATCTATATATAGGCTGCCTACTGCTGTTACTTCATAAAAGCCACACCAGCCTTTGAACACTATGAATATTGGTCAACTAAGTGAAATACATTTTCCCAATGAAAAAAATTCACATCAGTTGTTGATACATAGACAAATGAAACCAAATTGCTATATTCACTGAAAGTTTGGTTCCAGGTCTCCATCCCTTCTGCCTCAAGGCTCTTTCTGACCACAGGATCCATTTTACTGCTTCTCAAAGTTCAAACCCCCATCTTCTTACAGTGTGGTTGTCTCTCCTTCCAGGCCTACCTATTGCTAAAACTAAGCCTCTTATTTTCCCTCTTCCTGCTTGTTAGTCTAGATTATTGTGTTCTTGGGTCCAGTCAGACAGGAATTTAGGGCTTCCCTGCCTCATTGTAATCAGAAGACAAAGACTTGTCAAAGAAATCTTGGCAAAATGAGACATTTTGCAATGAATATAGTCATTTAATCTTTGTAAGACCCTTGTGCAACAGATAGGATTATTTTCTTTGTAATTCTACAGTTTCATAGTGCAGTGGGCACTCTGACCTGTGGCTATGCTGAGAAATAAGTTACCCAGGATAGTGAACCACACCTCTCAGTCAGCACTGAGGCCACAGGACTTGGAGGACTGGGAGTTCAAGGTTGGGAAGTTAGTCCATCTCAGAAAATGAGGGCAGGACATTGGGAAAATATAGAAAATAGAAAGAAACCCCCCATGTGACAAATGTTTCCATAGCCTTTGAAAACCCTTTATACAGATATTTATAGTCTTTTGAGAACACAACTAAATTTTTTATATAGCTGCAATCTTTACTCATTTCTTTTTATCCATCAAAAAATGGGATGCCAGTACTCATATCTTGAAGGACTGTTGAGGTACCTCCCCAGGCAATTCATGGAGACACATCCCCCCTTGTTAGTACCCCTGGTAGTACATACCCCCTTTCCTTTGAAAAGCCATGCATGGTTGCACATCCTTCACCCTTTGAGAAGCCATTTGTGGTGGCACATCCTCCCCCTTTGAGAAGCCAAGCATGCTTGCACTGTCAGCATTGGTGGCAGAGGCAGGAGAGTTGGGAGCTTAAAGCCCGCTTGGGCTGCATGAGAGCTGTGTGAAAAGCAGCCCCCCTTTCACCTTGACCACCTTGCTTACTGCTTTCTCCCTTGTCTGAAGCTGCAGTGTCTGATGTGTGATGCCCAGGGTGCCCCATGTGCCTCCCTTCTTCTGTTAACATGAACCTCATTTCTATTATCTTTTACTTTTGTTCAGAGTGATTCCATCTACATATTCATGTACTCATCCATTTAACAAATATTTGTTAAGTACCATCTAAGTGCCAGCCATTTTACTCTTCAGTAAGCATGAAGAGGCTTAGAAGAGCCCATGCTTGTTGGGAGAGTAGATGCATAAATAGGAAAAGTTGCTGTGTGACCATAGTGTGCAGAAATAGTGACCAAGAAAGCTAGACTGACTTGAATCTGTCAGAGATGCAAGTGATTATAGAGAAATCAGGAAAACCTTTTTTACATAAGATGGAGCTCAGAGGGATTTGTTTAGTGGTTTAAGTTACACTAAGGCCAGATGTCATTCATCCAGAATGGAGCTGTCGAAAGGGGCCCTTATTTCCCTGTGTAGAAAGCTCCAGCATTGGGATTTGTAGAATTTGTTGACAGGGGCTAGAGCTGCTTTTCCCCCCCTCCCATTTTAAACTGCCACCAATTTCTGATTTGATCAGTAAGTTGAAGAACAAAGGCATCTGAGGAGGCCTCAGTTCTCTAGACTAGCTCTGTCTGTGACCTGGTTCATCAGGAGCTTGTTTCTCCTCTTCTCTGTCTCCATTCCTCTGCTGTAGATATGAGAAACAAGACCAAAAATTAAGTCATGGTTTTTTCTCTTGAAACACCAAATGGGCATGGATCCCAAAACACCTTGAGATGTCTTAACATAGCATAGCTTTGGCCAGAGAATTAGTGGGATCAAGGAATTCTTGGCTGCCTAGATTTGAATGTCAGCTCTGTCATTTGTGTGTCATCTAATGCTGAACAAGCCACTTAACCCCAGTAAGCCTCAGTTTCTTAATGTATACAATGACTGACTTCACTGAGTTGATGTGCAAATTCAGTGGATGGGTTCAGGTCTGTTTGCCAGTGTGGTACACAGTACCCAGTGCACACAGCCAATGACATTGTCTCATCCTAGGAGCACTTAATGTGGAGTCCTAGGCAGTTTCACAAGTGAAAACACAGCAGTCACTTCTGTTACAGGATGATTGCTTTGTAGAGGCACAAGAGAACCAGCGGGTCTGTGTGTGGAATGTTTTAGTCACCATCTCCTTGGATTTTTCAGTTGATTTTTCTGTTTGCTGATGACCTCACTCCTCTTGTACAGTACAAGAGGAGTCCTTCTTAGGACAGAGCACTGCACAAAGTACTGTAAATACTGTACAAATGCCTTTGAATGAGTTACTTGGCAGTTTGTATTTCAGAATTGGTGAGTTAAACCCTTTGGTTTCCTCTCAGACCTGAGCTTGTTGTAGTATTTGTTAAATTTGTTTTTTCAGGGGAATCAGGAGTATCCCATGATAATCAAAGCAGGATTCTTCTATCAATATTGGGCTTCTGCTTTGATCAGTAGGCTGTTTGCCCTTGAACCTCTGTGGTGCAGGGGAATCTCAGACATTTCTCAGATTAATTTACATGGCAGTAAATAATCAGTGCTATCCATTACATAACCCATCCAAATCTGCCCTATTCATACAACCCTAGAGGCACAGACCTGCCTGCCTGGAATGAGCTACCATGATCACAGCTACCCTGTTGCTCTGCTGTGCATCCGTAACTGAAGGACTGACAGAGCTCTTAGAGCTGGTCCCCATCTGACCTTACCATAGTTACCTCACACTTATATTCTACTTCTGTGTATGCTAGGCTTTGCATACACCACTGAATCTAATCCTGAATTAGGACATCATGGCCTCATTATGGGTGTGGAAATTGAAAGCCAAGGTGAAGCTTATTCAGAAATCACATAGCCCAAAAACCATGGAGCTGAAACTTGAACTTGGGTCTCTGATTGCAAAGCTCTGAGTTGGTGTTCTCCCAGGGCATTTTCCTCTTCTAAAGAGCATCTGTTTCTGCACTTACTTTGTGGTTAAGTTGACAGCTTGCTGTAAAGAACCAGAAGTTTCCACACTCAGACAAGAATTTTATATTTCTTACCAACATTGCAAACACATGAAATGTAAAGTGACAAACATGGCCAGATTACTTTGTTATCAATCCATTCAGCAGATTTATAGTTTCCATTAATTTTCATCTGTCCCTTTTACTTGTTTTATATAATAAATACTTCTCAGCCTTGACAGACACACTGAGTGTAGATCACCTGAAGTAGACTCTCTCAATAAGCAGGGTTGCAGCTAAAGATTGTGAATTAACTGGGAAAATTGCAAATCAGGTAGTCAGTGCAATAATTCCTTGTCACATCCAATCAATAAACTTTGTAAATCAACTCATTTAATTCAAAAAATGATCTATATAGATCAAGGAACCAATTAAACAATTAGCATACACTTTGCAATTAATTAATTAAAGCATCAATCACATAATTAAAATTCCAAATTTTAGCTGCAGAATTTAGAATTTTACTCCTTTCTGAACAAGTAGATTATGCTTCTGAAGCCAGCCTGCATAAGTGCTAGCAGGTTTCCGATTTCCCAGACTACTCTGGAGCATATTGTCTTAAAATATTTACACTGATTTCAGCATTTGTTTATTTACTTATTTAATTTGCATATTCTCAAGGTCTCATGCATCCCAGGCTAGCTATATGGCCAAAGATAACCTTGAACTTGTGATCCTCCTGCCTCTACCTTCTGAGTGCTGGGATTTATACAGTGCTAGGGATTGAAACCAGAACTTTATGCATGCTAGACAAGCGCTACCAACTACATCCCAGCCCTGATTTCAGCTTTTAAATCTGAAAATTAGTGTAGTGACATGTCATTATGAACAAATTGCCTTTTTGTTTTCCCGCTGGGGAATGGATATTTGTTGATTCTAAAAGGGCAAGACTAGAATGAATCTGAAAGTCATGGCTAGACATGATAGAGAACTAGAAGTGGTCAGAAGGACTGGGTGTGAGAGTCAGGATAAATAAGGCCATTTGCTGTATTCAACTAAGTCTCTGTGGTGTTTAGAATCAGATCCTACCTAAAGAGTTAGTTACTTTTTAGGGAAGGAGAGCTGTGTGGCTGGTCTTGGTTACCAGGCTTACTTGTGCATCGAAGCGTATCCCCCCCCACCCCTGCCCAGTTCTTTTTCCTTTGTTTGTGACTGTGTCCTCATAGGTATTGTAGCGTTTCCTTTCCCCTCCTGTATTATGAGCTTCTGTTTTTTGTTTATACTTTTGTTTGATTTGGTTTTTCTTTTTTTAGACAGGGTTTCTCTGTGTAAGTCTGGGTGTTCTGGAACTCACTCTGTAGACCTGACTGGCCTTGAACTCACAGAGATCCACCTGCCTCTGCCTCCAGAGTGCTGGGATTAAAGGTGTGTACCACCACCACCCAGCTATATAAGGCTGACATTAAATCTCATTTTTCATCTCAAGGATTGAATTCTAGGTCTTTAACATGTGTGGAGTTTATGTTGTGAGGACACCTGATACATTACCAAGTGGTTTCTCCATATCAATGAATTGCTAATTAGGGGTTCTCAGTGTGTCCCAGGCTGAGGATAGAAAGCAGCAGGGTCAGTATGCTGGCTGGGCTCTGTGCCGTCTGGTCTGCATGTACTTTCCTATAATACTCATTTGCCTTTATGGTTTTTCTTTCAGTGACAACGTCAGTGCCTACTGCCTGCATATTGCTGAGGATGATGGGGAGGTAGACACAGATTTCCCACCGCTGGATTCCAATGAGCCCATTCATAAGTTTGGCTTCAGTACTTTGGCCCTGGTTGAAAAGTATTCATCTCCTGGTCTGACATCCAAAGAATCACTCTTTGTTCGAATGTGAGTACTGCCTGTTATTTTCCTCATCCTGACCTTCTAGCATTTTGCATCTGATACTGGTTTTGTTCATCAGGTGAATTATATGTGGTACCTAGAGCACCTGCTCACATGACTACTCTCAGAATGATTTGGGAACATGTGCATTGCTGTTTCATGCTTCTGCACCTAGGCCATGCACAGCCAGTAGCAGACTTCGAGGTAGATCTGGGAACAGCATATCTACAGATGGCCTCTGGGAGCAGTGGCAACAAGGAGCCTGGGAAGCAGCATTTGTGTTTGCCTCTTTCTAGTCAAGGAAATGAAAATGCATGCTTTTCATTTTTCTGTTGTGACTTAAAAAAAAAAAAAAAAACTTTTCTGTCCAACTGGTTCAAATCCAATTTGATTTTTCATCAGTTTCCTTTCATTAGACTGTGCTTAGCCTTTTCTGTGCCTTTGTCTGTCTGGTGAAGCCTAAAAAACACCCTCTCAGAAAAGTGTATGTACATACATAAAATAAAATTCATTGGAATATATCTCCTCCATTGAAAGTCAACAGATCATTAAACAGATCTGTGATGTAGTGGTACATCTAGCTTTTCTAATAGATTACCTAATCATCGCTCTTAAAGCCTGTTGATTGAGAGCAGTGATGAGTCTTAAGTGCTGTTTCAGGCCTCTGTACCATTGTAGCAAACAGTACTGTTAGCTAAGATGATCATGATCAGCACCCACATGGCTCACCTGGCTGTGATGTGTTGCCTCCACTTTCCATGCAAGGAAATGCTAAGTACTGCAGGGGAGATGAAGATTTGTTTTTTGTTCATTTGAGTCCACTGAGCTGCTGAGTTCCAGTAGCTGAGGGTGATCCCACACACTCAGGTGTCAGTCTAACCTAAGAGTTTTTAACCTAGGCCTCTGCTGTCCCTCTCCTGGCCATCTCCTGGGATTAATAGTGATCCCTTTGGCACCCCCTGCTGTTTAGAACCTGCAAATTCGTGTTCCTAATGAGGGATTGCCTTAAAGAACTTCATCCTGTCCTTTAAAACAGATTCTTTTGTTTGAGACTTAGGAAAATGGGACAGTGTAGCATAAGCTATGTGAGTATTCTGGGTCTTTCTCCTCTCGAGCAAGAACAAACAGTGGGCATCTAGGATGAGCTGAAAGCAGCCTCTCCAGCTTTCCCAATCTCACCTATTCTCAAGTCAGGTTTGAGCTATCCCCCACATTTTCATTTTTGCAGTACAAAAACAGCAGCTTTATAGAATACTTACTCTAATTTTAAATTACACAGTTTTTAAAATAATTAAGAAATTGTCTGGTGATTCCACCTTCCTAATGAAACTGGACATGTGGACCCATTGCTAAGTTTGCTACTGCTCCATTTCTCTGCCTCCCTTTCCCCTATTCAGTCAGTGTTGTATAGACCGAAAGACCTAATGGAAGTAACTTTCAATGAACATGGGTAGGTAGGGGCATTGATGCCTTCTTAGGAACAGACATCCTCAGAGATAGACAAGACCATCTGCTTCCTGAAGACTGAGAAGGGAACAGTATAAATAAGCATCTATGCCCTTGGTCCAGTGGAGGACTTTGTGGAGAAGGTACAGGTGAATCTTCAAGTCTGTACCTGCACTTTGAGTATCAGGAAGCCCTAAGTTGTCTTCTAGCCTTAGAGACTCTCAATCCCATACCCTACAAAGACTCCAGAAGCCCACCCTTTCTGCATCCCAACCAGACACATAGGCTTTGAACCTTAGCAAACCCAGGTTCAAGTCTCACTGGCAACTTGCTATGTGATTGTGGCAACTTTATTTTGTTATGCCTTAATTTCTCACCTATCAAATCTAGACAACAGGAATATTCTTAAACATAAGTCATAAATTTTCGTAAACTTAGGCTCATTGTTAAGCCTCACTGTTTGCCCAGATTAGTTTTACTATAGTGCCACTTGAATGCTTACAAATATAAAACTTTGGCTATAAAATTGTATAATGTTTTAACTATAAATTCCTTATCTTATACAACCTAAAACATGGCATTAAATACAAGTAAATGGTAGCATTAATAAAATATAAATTTAAAAATCTTGATGCTAGTGTTTTGCTAAAAATAAGTTGATTCTGGCTGGGCATTGGTGGTGCATGCCTTTCATGCCTTTAATCCCAGCACTCGGGAGACAGAGGCAGGCGGATCTCTGGGAGTTCGAGGCCAGTCTGGTCTCCAGAGCAAGTGCCAGGATAGGCTCCAAAGCTACACAGAGAAACCCTGTCTCAAAAAACCAAAATAAATAAATAAATAAATAAATAAATAAATAAATAAATAAATAAATAAAAATTTTTAAGAAAAGTTGATTCTGGGTTTAGTGAGAGTTAAATGTCTTACTTGTCAACTTGAGTCTTGATTTTCATTTTCATGGAAATGTGATTGCCATATTATTTTCCTTTAAAGAATGAATGGTACTTTTAATTACCAGCACATTAAATTAATTAAATTTAATGATTTATAATGTATCCCCCAAATGTAAACCTTCTCTACTAGAAAATTGTTGTGTGCATTTGTCCCATTATACTTGCTAGCATGACTAATTCCTATTGTTCTGCCCAGGACTTTCTAGTTACAAAACTGAAAGTCCTAGACCTAGAGCAAAGCCCTCTCTTCTGTCACCTTCCTTCCATCCTCAGTAAAGCGGGACAGGTGTGGTTCCTGCTTTGGCTGACTGATCTACATAAAGGTGGGCCCTCCTGGTACCTGAGCACACATGCTTCTGACACCAAAGAGCATACATTTTACAGAGATAGCCTCCCCAGTAAAGCACCATGTGTGCTCTGAGTTCTCACACCATCTTTCTGTTTAGCAAACTTTGCATCTACTTACAGTGATGAATTTGACCTTTACTAATCCATTAGTGATGTTAAATAGCTCTAGCTGCCAGCACACGCAGCCCCCACATTTCCCCTTATCCCAGAGTTAGCAGACCTCCTGTGAAGGCCATATAGTAAATGTTTTAGGCCTGTGTGTCATACGGTTTCTGTAGCAACACTCCATTATAGTGTGAAGGTTGCCATAGGCGATGCAGAGGTAGGAGGGATGGCTGGGTTTGTTTGTCAGCTTCTGGTTCTTTCTAACAGGCTGATTTCCTTTCAAGTCTGCCCAGAGAGGGCAAGCTGGGTGGGGTGAGGGGCATGGAACCAGAATTGGTAGCGATCTAAAATATGCATACATGTTTATAGAATGTGTGTGTTTATACATTAATTTTTCTTTTAGTTCAATCACACATAGTTCTCCATATAAATGTATATGGTTTTTGTATGTGTATATGATTTTCATTGAGCTAAAATAAAATACTTAAGTTCTGAAGCTCAGCCTATAAATTTAATAGTTGTGAGTCCTGGAAATAGAAGCTATAGACCTCAGAAAATGATACTGTGCAGATTAATACCAGGGGAAGGGGGATTTAAATTTAATTTCCTTCCATCCTATCCTGCAAAGATTATGAATTATTAGATTTTATAATTATTTACATTCTATTTTTATTATTTTCTGCCCTCATCTGACAGAAGTGAAAAAAGTAACCCTGCTTCAGTAAGCCTTTGGTTGACAATAGTAAAATAGCCTTCATTTATTAGAAGGAAAAAAAAACCTAAATGAATCTCTACTAGAAAAATGTTCTGTGGAAATGAATTTGAAGTTGGATGACTTCTATATACCTTGTAAGTGAAGCCAGGGCCTATCCAGCCCCCCAAATCCCATAGGCCTCAGGAAACCCCAGGACATAGAACTACTCTTTGAGGGAGACTTGATTTGAAGAAAAAAAAAAAAAAAAAAATACACACACCAATTTGAAAATTAGGAACTCCTAACAGAAACAGCCTGCTTCCCAAGCCCATTGGTGGATCAATTTCTAAACTAGCTGCTGATTCTAACTGACCTTACAGAGTGAGTGTGTGCTGCCTAAGCTGCTTACTCTAACTACTTTGAAAGTAAGCAGTAAAGATGGGTGGACCTATCAGAACTGTGGGAAGAAGGGAGAGTGCGGACGGGAATCACACGAGAGGCTGTGACTAAAATCCCAGCCCTAGGATGGTTTTTGACTGATGTCCAAAGCCAGATGAAAAGCTGGGTCTCAGATGTTGCCCAGCATCTGGAGAAGTGCTCCTTGCTAGCAGTGACCAAACCAGGACCCAGTGATCCTCTAGAGATGTAGTGGTGCAATAAAGGGACCTACCTCATCTGTCTACTTATACCCTCTTCCAGCACAGTGTTCACATAGAAATGGAATTGAGTTCACAAATGGCAACTACAAAGCAGACCTTGCTATGGAGTGAGGAAGGAGGGTTCTGGGGGAACAAACATCTAAACTAATAAAACAGACAGAACCCAGGACAGATCTCTATCAGTCAGAGCACTTACACTACCTTCCTTTGTGTTTTCCTTACAATGTTTAATACAATAAATGGACATAAGATTGCAAGTTAATAGAGTCTAGCTACATTTCTGCTGTGTGGATGAAGAGCCACCAGGTAGAAGGTGGGAAGCTGAACTGCCTTGAACAGCCAACATGGCCCAGAGGGCTCCCCAAAGCTGCCTAGGCTTCACTTGGCTCTGCTCAAAGGGAATGGTGAGCTGCTTTTATAAGAGGCATACCGAGGTTCACTGCTCTTTCTTATGTGAGGACTTTTAAAAGCCTGTAGTTTTTAACTTACCTTTTTGATGATATCTCCAAAATATACACCAAATGACTGGTCCTTAATCAAAAATGGCAGCATTAGCTTATCCTGGTCTTCAGTGGCATTGCCTTGTGTTCTGTAAAATGGAAAGAGCAAGAAAGAGAGACAAGAAGGCAAACATAAATTTTTTTATGTATTTGACTTCTGCCTTTATTCCTATAAGCAGCTCCTTTGTAAAATCTTTAAGCCGAGGGTCAGAGCAAGATCACACAGTTTGGGAAGGGCCAGTGCTAATATGGAATACAAAATAAAAACAAGGTGCGTGTTCTCTGTAATCAGGCCTGGAAATCT